TTTTTTTCCATTTAAATGTTAAAAAATAGCAACAACATAATCAATAAATCAATATAAATCATGCATTTATTAATACTAAAATAATTTACTTGTGGCCGATTTCACGAAAGCAGAATCACAATTTTCCAGAAATTCAATCTGTGTATTGGTAAACCCCACAAACAGTGGGTTAGTATGAACATCAAATTATTATTTTTTTTTTAAGAAAAAGAGAGTTCTACAATCATAATTATATGGATTAGATGGGATTTGCAGTGTGTTTAGAGGTTTGTGGTGTATTTGCAAGTATTTTTTCATAAAAAATCTAAATTTTAACCAAAAAATAGTTATGAATGTATTTAATTTTCTTATTGATATACCAAGTCAGTCAATAACAATTGAATTGTTTGATTTTTTACAGTGTGTTTTGGGAAGTTTGTGGGATTTAGCAATACCACTTTAACCCTACCATAATCACCCTACCCTCACAATCACACGCCATTTTAATTCTTAGCATAATTGCCATACGTAACTATACATAATTCTAAGCCAGTAGCAGGCACTTGGATTTAGTTAGTGATGAGTAAAAACCAAGTATGCAACTAAATTAGTTGCTTAAATAAATGTATTCCTAATTATTCAGTTTACTAAAAGCAATACTTCTTTGAATAAACTCTAAGCAGACAATTTATTGCTAAGTTTGCGAGAAAGTAAGCCTCTCCCTTTTCCCATACATGAACTTGTGATTCAAACACACAGGCTACGGTCACACTAGAGTTTCAAGCCTGGCTTGACTCACCGCGGGTGAGATTTTCGTAATGTGACCGCATCTGCACCGACTCGTGCCTGGCGTGACCTCGATCTCAATCTACCTATCTCGATCCCAGCTCAGCACCCATATTGACCCAAATTCAAACAAAAGTGAAGGCATTGCAAGCCCAGTACAAGCTGATAAAAGATCAGTTGAAGAAGAGTGGTTCGGGCACGTCTGGTGTAAAATCTTTGATTGCGATCCACCCAATCACACGCGCGTATATCGAATCCCGTGAAACAGACTTGGCCAAACTCTCTCTTTACGGCTCTCCTGTTTCGACTTTCATAATTTGGAGGTCAATCCAACTAGTGTGACCGACCCAGAATTTCGAGCCTGGCTTGAAATCTCACCCGCGTTGAGTCAAGTCAGGCTTGAGACGCTAGTGTGACCGTAGCCACAATTGATCCACATCCTTTAACTACTGTTTATTTGCATTGTTTATAACATGTAAGTTAATTCATTTGATATTTAACAAAAGTGAACTTGTGGTTATCTATGAGTTACATATTTTGGTAGTTGAAGTACTGTATACTGTATGTCATTCCTCTACTTTGTTAGTGAAATAACGTTTTCAAAACTTTTATTTCTACTATCAAAAAATGTTATTCAATGGCCATTGTTTTTCGATTATCTCTCAGAACATTATTTGCATCTGCTGTAATTGTTAAAAAAACAAATGCTTTTCAAGACATAAAAAAAATCACATATTGATCTCAGTTCAAAGGAAAAAATAAAACTTATTTCTAAATTTACAATTTTCACCTATAAACCTCTTAATTTCACAAAAGAGTGGGTTCTTTTCCAAACAAATACATCCTGCCTAATATTGTGTGTTTACATTAGATCTTTTGCTTTAAATTTGGAAACTGAGATCATTTTAGATATTATTTCTGTATAAACTAATTTTTATTTTTTCATATTACTGTAAATCTAATGGGTTTTGATAAATTTACTCTGCACTACGGAATTTCCAATAAAAAAATAGAAAATTAATTAAAAAGACCATAGATTAAAAATAAGTAAGGCAAAACATATTTTTAATCTATGTTAAAGCATAACTATTTTTGCATAATGAAATTTAGTAAATCAAATTATTATTTGTGGCTTTTATTAATTAAATCAATTAAGAACATAATCTCAAACAAAATTTAATGACAAGAAAGATCGAGGTTTCGGGTCCATCATGGAACCACTCTCAAGATCAAGTAAATTGAAAAAACTAAAAACAAAAATACCAAGCAGTGACAGGATGTAAGTAATTAATTTACATATCAATAGGGCCTACTGTGTGGAGCCACAATGGAGCTAAGCAATAATTAGCCCTTCTTAGAAAATTAACTAGATAAACAGTTTGGCTTTGACTGAATCAGTTTGTTTGTTAAGTGTAGGTTTCAGTTTTTATGTTGATTTATTAATTAAATTTTTGCTACAGGGTATTTTACAGCATTTATTTATTTATTTATTATTATTTTTTCTTTCTTGAATTTTATAATTGAGGGCCATTTTTTATTTCTTGATTCAATTCTTGCTTATACAGTATTTAAATATTTGAAGATTAAAAAAAAAAAATATATCATTTCTATTACCAAATTTTTCATTGGGGCCATTTTTACATACCTGTCATATGGGGTCATTTTTACCGGGGCCATTTTTTCCAGGGCCGTTTTTTCCGGGGCAATTTTTTCCGGGGCCATTCTTACCTACATTCCTGACCAGTATAGTCCTATCAACATGTTTACATCTTGCATATTCAGAAATTCTATAGAATATTCTATACAAACGATATGACAAGTTCTCTATAATAAAACTAACTATATAATTTCTATATTTATTCTATAAAAAAATTATAGGCCTTTACCTGTATTTTTTTTAACGTACTATACAAATTTTATAGGGATTAGGCCTATCTCTATAGGAACATATAAAACCTCTATAGAGTATAACACATATGAAACTCTATGGAAACATTTATAATCTGTAAAAAAGGTTTCATCTTTAGTAAGTATAAAATGTATACAAACGCTATGGAAATGTTTATCTGTAAAAAAAAGTTTTCTTTTTAGATTGTTTATAGAGTGTTTATGGAGTAAAATGGACAGTATAACATGTAATTTGAGCAAAATGTGATTATATCATAAATATAAAGTATTACCATTAATCTTACTATTTTTTAAGTTTGTGTTCAATATTTCAACTCTAAACCCTAAAATTTAGTAATTTTATGAAGGCCATTCTACAAGAAACGTATATGAATTCACCAACTTTCAAACCGCCATACTTCGCTTCCAAAAAATTTATTCACCTACACAAAATTCAGGCCCTACAGTATGTTCCGAAAGTATTTGTAGTGCATCGTACTCTGGTACAAAGCTTACGTAAATCTATAGGTAAATGAAGGAAATAGCCTTGAATTAATTTAAAGAATACTAAACTGTTTCATGACCTGCTGAAAAAAGATTTGGAAATCCCTCTGGCAGTAAAGCGGACCAGAAATGAGGTAGATTGCGGTTGAGTACATGTTAAGAAACTAGTTGTGGTTATTGAAACTATTGTGGTTATTGAAGCCAACAGAACAATCATCTGCACTATTTTCAGCGATGTGAAACTAAAACCTATTGATGAAGTATATTTACACAACGTTATGATTTGAATGACGTTGTGTAAATTATATACTTCATCAATAAAACGTATACTGATGAAGTATATTTATACAAGGCCATTCTAATCATGTACAAAATATAATATATATTGTAGGGTTCTTGATTCCCTGATGACCCCGGCAACTTTTTCCCGTCCGGAAAATTGGCCATTCCAATTCCCCCATTTTCCGAGTCGGCAACATCAGACCTGATACTGTCGACTCTGGCGGCACCACTGGGTATACAGTAATAGTATTGAGAATAGTGTTGCTTTCATTTTAGGTGGGAGAAAGGCGCTTATTAAACAACCATTAAATTAAACATTTGGTATAATTTAGCATAATTTCCCATCAGCCCTTGGCATAATCACCGAGATTCAATATTTCAAACTAGATTTGTTCAACGGCATAATTCATACTAATTTAGCTTGGTACAATCGGACAAGAAAAGGCATGGTTATGTGCTGCAATATCACAAAGAATGCTGGATTGTGCACCCATGTAACACAAATGTTTCTTGAATAGTGTTTTATACAATAAACTATAGTGATGCTTTAATACGTGATAGGACTACATTACGGAAAAATGCATATTTAAACAGGACTGTAAAGCAAAGAACTCTAGAATAGCCTTAAATTTGAGGTAGAGTATGTTTAACAGTAAGACATAAGCAGAACGATATATGAAGGGGTATGCTAGTAAATGAGACCCTGGGGAGTAATGTCCCTACCGTATGATGTTTGTTGGTGTTTTTAATTAAAGAAATTATGGTTTGTATATGAACTCGGTGTATTTTGTAAGTCTGCAGAAGTTGATTAATTTAAGCCATTGTTACTAATTGGCAACAAGGAATAGAGACCGTGGAAAGTTAGGCCAAAGAGACAAGTTGGAACTAGGACGTGACAAATTAAAGACCAGTTGGAACTGGGACCATTGAAAACCAATTGGAATTGGGGCCAGTTGAAGGACCACTTGAATTGTCCAAAAACACACAACACCCACAATTTTTTTTTAATAGAATACACAGATTTTCTATAAAAAAATCGTTCAATTTATATACAATTTAATGTATTTTTATTTTTTTTTAAATAAAATGTTTAGATTTCTATAGGGGTTTTAGTTTATAGATTTATAAATGGTTTTTATAAAATTGTTTATAGATTTTCTATAGTTTTTAAAGGGTTTTTTAAATTAAATTTTCATAGACTTTTTATAGAGAATAGAATTTTCATAGTTTTTAATACTTTTTATAGTTTTAATAGTTTTTAATAGAGTTTTAATATATTTTTTATAGTTTTTTTAGTGTTTTTATATATTTTTAATAGATTTTTTATAGAGTTTTAATAGACTTTTTATAGTGGGCTTCTGTAAGGTTTCTATAG